GTTATTGTTGTTGTTTTTCTTTCCAATTAATAGTTATGGTTTAGCTAGTTCTGAATTTGTAATTGGATTTCGATGTTAACAATATAAGGTGAATTGTAATGGTGGTACTCTTTATTTCTCCTGTCTCCGGAGTTTCTAAAATCCAATGTGGTATAAAACAAATAAGTTACTAATATCAAAGAGCAAGGTGAACTCTATGACAGTTTTTAAGTTTTCTAATAATATTGTTAGAAGCATAGACAAAAAGGAACGAAATGTCATCGCGTAGCGGGAAAATATAATCTGTGGTTCGAACAATGAAAAAGTCAAGATGGCGGGAACTCGGAAATTATTGAGACGGTGTATTTGGTGTTGAGGGAATTTTATTCTATTTCAAAGTCAATTTGCCTATTCATGTGTTATTGTTGTTGTTTTTCTTTCCAATTAATAGTTATGGTTTAGCTAGTTCTGAATTTGTAATTGGATTTCGATGTTAACAATATAAGGTGAATTGTAATGGTGGTACTCTTTATTTCTCCTGTCTCCTGAGTTTCTAAAATCCAATGTGGTATAAAACAAATAAGTTACTAATATCAAAGAGCAAGGTGAACTCTATGATAGTTTTTAAGTTTTCTAATATCAGAAGTGGGATACGATTATTTTCCATGCGTTCTGACTTTCTATGTAGATAATACTTACATGATACGGCAAATTGACTATTCAAAGTTTTTCATTTGTTTTATGTAAGTTCGTGTTCATGTACTTAGTAGGTACGTTGTGATCGAGGTATTGTGGCAAATTGTGGTAACGTATAACTATGACTGAAACTTACGGTGAGTACGTTCCAATTCCCGTTTGAAAAGCTATAATGCTTTTGTGTATTTGTACGTGTAAGCTACAAATAAATAAAATTGTGAACTCTATGTTTAAACTATTCCTACTAATTTTCTTTTAAGTTAAAATCTTTAACAATCTCAAGTTCTGTCATTGTAATTTGTTATACCTACCTATGTCCTTTACTGTTACAAACAGTAAGGAGAGACAATGAATGTCACGTAGGTACTGAAGTGATTCTGCTAATATTCTAGGCGATTCTGCTAACATGGCTTGTGTAAAGTAAAGTGAACTGAAACACTAAATTTTGATTTGTTTGACTGCATGGAGGAGTGATGCTGCCAATTGCTGGTGAGGAAACGTGAGCTCAACACCGGTGCGCCTGCCTGTGCTGACGTCGCTACAGCTACAGTTCATGACTGCGGCAGTAGCTGAGCGTCGATGGTTGGTGGCAGTAGGTGAATTGACTTCGCTTGGACTGCTATGCAAGCTTGGCTCACTGTGTTGTAGAAGCAATACATTCAATGACCAGGCTGGTGAGATCTAATCTTACTTTTATATTTAGTATTCTTTATCTGCTAATTTTTTCGATCAACAATATAGACAGCAGATCTGGTATGAAGCAGTAAGATACTAAGAATATAAAGTTTGAATTATTGAAATAAAAATGAGTAAATGTTTTACAACGACAACTGCTTAAAAGCTAAGTCCAAGGCTCAATGCATGGGTTACCATTGGTTGTATTTAGAGTAATGTGAAGGATTAGTTTGTGAAACGTTTGTGCTTTTGAATATGTTGTACGAAGTCATGAGTATGAATACTGATCAATATCCAACATATGAATGCTGAATATGCTTATCGATTACTGTTAAAAGTTACAGTTAAAGTTAATGGGTCGATGATAAGTATATTACAGCAGTAGTAATATTGAACCAAGTTTCAACTATAAATTATTATTGTTGGTGTCGTTTGTTACAAAGCAAAATACATCAACTGTTAACAAGTTAACTAATTATTAACAATGTTTGTTCTTATGTTATCAGGCATTACTTGTTATGTTTACACTTGAGAGAGGTCAATACATCAACAAACTTTTACTTAACTTAATGTATAAATGCATGTATGCGTGTGAAGTGGCATCTTGCAACTGAATTTTGAATCACAAATCTTTAGGCGATGGAGCTGAAATTTTTTATAAGTATGTGTTCAGGTTTAGCTGTGAATTCAGCTGAAGTTTTACATTTTTGCTTGACTTGAAATTATGTATATCAAAGTAATGTAATCCAAAGAATAAAGATTAAATTCAGAACAGGAGAACCGCTGATGTTAATGAAAAACATATTTCTCTTCTAATATGCACCATTCACCACGAGTTAACAACTTGTGCAGAATTGTGAAAAATGCTACATGTTACTGCTTGAATCATGTCTTAGGTAGTTGTACAGGGAATTACTGTTGTTATAATGGTAGACAGCAGTATGTGTTTGTTTCTCCTTAGCAGCGTTACCCTTGATAGAGTGTTGATGTGGTTGTTGTACTGTAGTGAAGGTAGGTTGCCAGTATGCACCTCACAGTTACTGTAATCCATAATATGTATGTGCGTTCTGCACTTGTTTAGCAAATTTGTAAATACAGACTTAATTTGGTTTGTCTACCGCATGAGTAACCTCTTGAGAGGCCGAGAGTGCTTTCTACTACCGGTGAACAAGCTGCTGTATGGATCGGTTGTTCCTCCTAGAAACGTGACTAGACTCCGTAGAGCGTCAGGATACATCATTGTATGCTGAGAGAGAGATGATGCCTAATTTGTTATCGTTTTTTGCTTAAAATTTCAAATATGTACACAACCCAGCTTTCAGTGTACTATTTCGAGTTTGTCACCTTGATATATTACTTGAGAGGTTTCATGCTGGATTTTATGAAAACTCTTCTTATTGTCAGCAACAACGATGTCCACATATTGAACCGCTAGTGTTACTTGTGTTAGCTGACTGGCGATAAGTAACGTTTACTTGTAGGCATCGTTTTACATATTGACGACATCGTTTTACATATTGACACATATAGTTACATTTCTTTTTATATGCAATTTGACATTATTAGCATAATGTATATTGTTTTTCATTTGAAAAATTTATATTTTTTAAACTTGACATTTACCTCTATTTTTTACAATTGTTAGTGCTAGGACCGTGCGAGACTTTTCTTTTCTTATTTCTTACTCATACTCTGACAGTTTGAGTATTTGTGCGACCCACGCAAATGTTCTTTAGGTTGGTATTGTTCGTCGAATCACTCAGCCTCATCTGTTAATTGAGCTGACTGTAAACCGACACATGCGTACTGCTTTCAGAACGGGTCCGCTCAAACTGTTGTGGTTCTTTCCTCAAAAGGCCACTACAGAGAGAACTTGCACGGTTCTCACACATAATCTTTTTATACATATTTGTCTGGACTTTAAAAGAGACAGACCTCGAGTTTGTTTCGGCATTTCTTCTCAGAGTAGTCAGTTAGGAAATGTCGACCTCATCGTTCGCTTGATAAAATTGACGTGTAAAAGTGCTGCCTTGTAGTCTATTTGCAGAATAAATTCACTTGTTTCACATGTGAACCATTGATTGCGTATAAAAAAATTGAAGTAAGTTTTACCGATGATCAATAATCATGCTGATTCGGTGATAATGTATGTGCCTTATCAATGTGTATGATTACAGGATTCCATCAAAAAATATTTAGGATGGACTAAAAGTCATAGTCAGGTGTCCGAGCGGATACAGAACGTCTGACAAGATCGAGTGTGGTGTGGTGTGTAGTGTGGTGAAGGCTACAGCGCTAAGTGTTACGACTGCTAATAGATGGTATACTCGTGTGGAAACGCGACACAGACTGTGGCGGAGTTTCTAGTGCTATGTGGATAGCTTCGGACTGTAGAAATGTGTCCTTCCCACACAATATGGTACGCTAACATTGTGTGATATCTGATATTCTGATGTGTATTGTGTGTGTAATGTGCGTGTGAATAATATGCTAACGTAGGTATTAATTATTACACATGTGTTAGAGACTCATGATATGCCAACGCCGTGCCTATGTCATGTAGTCGTTATAGCAGAGATAGCTAACGTCGTGCTTCCTCTCTGAGTATGTTTTATGATTGTGAACTATGCTAACGTCGTGCCTATGGTTCACTATTGATTGTGTTTTTTTTTTCCTGTGTTCGTGACTCATGATACGCTAACGCCGTGCCTATGTCATGTAGTCGTTATAGCAGAGATAGCTAACGTAGTGCTTCCTCTCTGAGTATGTTTTATGATCGTGAACTATGCTAACGTCGTGCCTATGGTTCACTATTGATTGTGTTTTTTCCTGTGTTCGTGACTCATGATACACTAACGTCGTGCCTATGTCATGTAGTCGTTATAGCAGAGATAGCTAACGTAGTGCTTCCTCTCTGAGTATGTTTTATGATTGTGAACTATGCTAACGCCGTGCCTATGTCATTTAGTCGTTATAGCAGAGATAGCTAACGTAGTGCTTCCTCTCTGAGTATGTTTTATGATCGTGAACTATGCTAACGTCGTGCCTATGTCATGTAGTCGTTATAGCAGAGATAGCTAACGTAGTGCTTCCTCTCTGAGTATGTTTTATGATTGTGAACTATACTAACGCCGTGCCTATGTCGTGTAGTCGTTATACCAGAGATAGCTAACGTAGTGCTTCCTCTCTGAGTATGTTTTATGATTGTGAGCTACGCTAACGTCGTGCCTCTAGTTCACTATTGATTACTTTACTGTGTTGGTGATTTATGATATGCTAATGTTGTGCCTGTCATGTAGTTGTTATAGTAGAGATAGCTAACGTAGTGCTTCCTCTCTGCCTGTATTTTGAATTATTATAGATCAATGTGTACATGTAGTTGTTTGTGTCGGTAACCAACGACATCCCGATGCAATTTTTCTAATTTCAGGTGCAGAAGGTATTGAACTCACACGTCACGTTTTTGGTAATTGATAAGATTAACGATTTAATATGGGTCGATGTGGCTTCGGAAAAAACCGGTGTCCCGACCCAATCCTTATGTTCTCAAGCGATGATTATGTTGTTTCCATGGATCATGTGATACGGTAATATGATGCCTATCATGTGGTCCACATTAACCGAGATAGCTAATGTTGTGCCTCCTCTGGCTATTTTTTTGTGACCTGCGCTAACGATTTAATATGGATCGATGTGACCGCCGGTAACCACCGTCGTCCCGATCCAATTCTTATGTTCTCAGATGCAAACAGTATAGAGTCCACAGCTGAACAAGCTGCCAGAAACCGCGGTGATGTCCCTGCTACGGAGCGTGTGCTGTAAATATGCGACAGTGCGACACAGGAGCACGAGGACGTGCTCCAGTCAGGAGAGGCCGTGTTAGAAGCATAGACAAAAAGGAACGAAATGTCATCGCGTAGCGGGAAAATATAATCTGTGGTTCGAACAATGAAAAAGTCAAGATGGCGGGAACTCGGAAATTATTGAGACGGTGTATTTGGTGTTGAGGGAATTTTATTCTATTTCAAAGTCAATTTGCCTATTCATGTGTTATTGTTGTTGTTTTTCTTTCCAATTAATAGTTATGGTTTAGCTAGTTCTGAATTTGTAATTGGATTTCGATGTTAACAATATAAGGTGAATTGTAATGGTGGTACTCTTTATTTCTCCTGTCTCCTGAGTTTCTAAAATCCAATGTGGTATAAAACAAATAAGTTACTAATATCAAAGAGCAAGGTGAACTCTATGATAGTTTTTAAGTTTTCTAATAATATTATATCAGTAGTTAACTGGTAACACACACACACCGATGTGAATTTCACACATTTACTATGGTTAGAATCACCTTGTTTTTAAAAGGGCACATTGTTCACGATAGCGAAATGCATATTCAACATGAATGGTACTTGTTAAAACCAAGGACATTTAACCTTATGACCGCCATGGACGGCTATAGCCGACAAACGAAAACGTGCCAATCACTTCACATGGCTATGGCTGACCAAGACACGACATTTTTTAAGTATAAAATAAATATATTACTTACCTTCAATTTTCTGTTGTGCTTTTTTCTATTATTTAAACATAGATCAACACAGGCCACCGGCGGACCGGAGTATTTAAAACTACATTCATGAACTATTGTAAAATGGCACTAAGATATATTTATTATTTACAATTCATTAGAAAAAATAATCATCAAAAATTGGTAATCGAAATCCATAATTAAAAAGTGTTGTTGTTCATGCCACAGACAGCAAGACACGACGGCTAGTGATGGCCAAGTAAGGAAACATATGAAATATTTGATTCAAAACTGTTACTTCGGCAATTAATTTTTAATGACAACTAATTGTATCTGAATATTCCTAATGCATAATATTTATACATTTATAGAAAAGCACATAATTTTGCTGATATCCTTATGATAACTGTCTCGTTGGCCGAACGGTGGCAAGTGCGACTACCGGGCAAGGTGACTCGGGTTCGATTCCCGGGTCGGACAAAGTATTACTGGGTTTTTAAAAAAGTCTCAGTAATGGCACGGAGCCTGGTAATGTGCCCAGTATATGGCTATTGCCATATTGGCTCACCCCCTATTATAAACATAATAAAAAACTGACTTCAAAAAACCAAAAACTAATAACAAACAAAAAGTCAAAACTAAAAAGCAAAAAGTAACTATTATTAGTACTGATAGGTTACCCACCCACTGATAGGTTAGAAGTCGGTGCCATAAGCTCATATCATAATGATATAACTTTATGTCCACAAAATTGTGAATTAGGTACCTATTAAGGTTTTAATGAATAATTTTGTATGGAACTTATGGCACCGACTTCTTACCTATCAGTGGGTGGGTAACCTATCAGTACTAATAATAGTTATCTTTTGCTTTTTAGTTTTGTCTTTTTGTTTGTTATTAGTTTTTGGTTTTTTGAAGTCGGTTTTTTATTATGTTATGAGTAATGCTGCCTTTGGGGAGAAAAGGCGTGATGTTATGCTATGTGTGATATCCATATCAACAGTAAGGTTCGCTGTATTACGGTATAAAATTAAATAAGTACTAATTTCTTTCACCAATAGCTAAAACTATCAGATAGATTGATATTATTAATACGTTTTTCAGCTTAAACACTAATTCGTGCTAATTTCAAAATTCCGTAGCAAATATCACAATAAATATGAAGTTCCGGTATTTTGGAGACATATCCATGTTCTCATCTACGTTTGACGTCAACGACCCTACTCCGACCTCTCCTATTATTCATCATGTGTCGCAATATCCCATCCCAAGTCGCATGCGAGGCAGTTGTTAAAAGGTGTGCCACCGACGCCAGAGGCGGCTCTTTTCAACAGCGGACGACGTCACCCACGAGATTAATTAGTGATGTACCTTTTTAGAAAGATACTAAAACTGAAGTAGTTACCTGTTACAAAAGAATAAAATAACAAAGTATTTTAAAAATGTATCTTTATTCACCATAATCAAATTGTGGTGGTATATAGGATAAGGCACCTGCTTCTCACGCACAAGGGTGCGTAAGAAGGTGGAACCCGGCAAGTACGAATGTGACTATTTTTAGGTAATATGATGTACTTGCTATGATTGTTTACAACAATGGAAAAACATCGTGAGGACACCTGAACTTTTAACGTCTATCCGCTTTAAGTAAGCGTGATGATTAATGCTCAAACCTTCTCAGTGCGAGACCAAAGTAAATTGGTTCAATCCAATGAGATTATTATAATACCTCTTTTTTTTAAATCATTAATAACATTTTCCATTTTTAAGATTTTTTGGTCTCGGCGACGAATTCGTTCCCTCAATTTTTTAATCTCTTTTCTCTGGTTTTTGCATAATTCTTGTATTTTTTCATTCTTTTGCAAGTTGGATGGCTGATGCTGTACCTGTAAATATAATATTTTGGGACTATGAATGGGCACATCCAGATGGCGGGAAATCAAGCTTAGCACTGGCTCCAGAAAACCGACAGAGTGCCAAGCACGAATAACTATCGCACTCGTAACGTTATTACGTAATAGTACCGAGCGCTTTCGGTGCCTAGTTGGCCGGCTCCAATGAACCAATCAATCAAAGGGCTGTATACAGGGTGTCCCTGAAGTCGACGATCAAATGGCACCAGGTGATCGGCAAGGTTCCAATAGTTATCAGAAAAAAATCACCTGGTGCCATTTCATCGTCGACTTCAAAGACACATGTATAATTCCTCAGATTCAACAAGTCGGTAGTGCAAAGCAAGTTGCTGATGGATAATATTTATTATGTCTATGCAAGTATTCGCTATTAGCGAAACGTATACAACCAGAAATAATATGTCTTTTTTTTAATGGGGGAAAATCATCGAATGACTGCTCCCACCTGGGTGAGGGGGGAGGGAGTGTCAGACTCTTACTGACTAAAAACCACCCCGTTCCTTCTCCTGCACGTCGAGCCGGAGCCCCGGTTACCCGTTAGGTTCTCCGCAACTCCGAATCGGCATCGGCCCTATTGGGCCCCATCTGTAGTGGTCTGATGGCTCTTTGAGGCGCGCGCGGAACGCTACGCGCTTGCACAGACAAGTCCTTCAAAGTGATCATTTATTATTATTCACAAAGCATTCCTTGAAATACCCTGTTATGAGCGCAGATATGTTGTCTCATAATAAATTTAGATATTATTATAATGACTCGTGCGCTGGGTAGACATAGTGTACAAACACATTGATACTTAAACATTTTTAAGTGTTTCTCAATTTTTTTATACATTATTTGTTTTTCTTCTTACCTATTCTCATTATTAATGATACAAAATACTTTTCCGAACTTTTAAATGTCTGAGTAAAAATAGTATTAGATCAACTTATGACGAACCTGGGATGTAGAAAACCTAATTTCATTTTAGTTACCTTTTCAGATCTTATATATATGTGCTCCACTGGTAAGGTTGGTGATTGTGACTCAATGGAACTCGTGGAGACTGCATCTTCTTTGCCAGTTTCAATTTCATATAGATCTGGCTCATGTGTATTCTGTGAAGGCTGAAAGTATTTTTTTTTATTAATGACAAATTTTATTTTAAAAATATAATATAACATAACATCACGCCTTTTATCCTCGAAGGGGTAGGCAGACGTGCACATTATGCCACTGTACAATGTAACACCCACTTTTCACTATTTATGTTAAGAGTCCCATGTAATAGGGGGTGAGCCTATGGCCATCCAGACTCCGTCCTACTACTGAGAATTTTTTAAAAACCCAGTAATACTTTAGAACCCGAGACCCCTTGCCCGGCAGTCGCACTTGCGACCATACGGCCAACGAGGCAGTATTTCAAAAACATCAATATTAATTAAAACTATAAATGAAACGATAGGTTACTAAGAATATTTACACAATATAATTACGTAAAATTAACTATTGGTTTTAACTTACTGCAAGGTGGATTAATGGTACTACATCATCACGCAGCCTTATTACATCTAGGGTTCTATTGAATGCTGATTCTGGAAAGTGTTGTGAACAGACCTTTGGTACTTTAAGTTCAGGATTGATATTTTCTAACCCAATGATTTTGAGCCACTTCTGGCGCAGTTCTTTATTCTGCGGAAACCTATGCAAATAAAACAAGGAAAATTATATAAGTGTCATGCAGTTAATGGAACAAATCAACCACTCAAGTAAAATATCCATTGCATCTACTTGGCCGGCACCAATGAAGCAACCAATCAGAGCGCCGAACGAGGTCTCGTTTCGATTACTTTAAACGTAATACAAACTTGTACTAAGGCCTCTGCTAGGAATATTTTCAAAATCGGCTATTCAAACCCTCCATTTTGATTGTTACTTCCCCTATACTCCTTAAACTACTACTAATATTTATATTTAAAATTCACACCAGTTCACAACCCAAAGAGTATAAATAAGTATAAGGGTCACAACATTGACGATTATAGGTAAGAAAAAAAGTACACAGTACAATAATAAAGTACAATTTATTCTTATTTAGTATTATATTTAAAAAATATTTTATTGCTTTTTGCAGTTTGTATTAAATTAGTATCTTTCCTAAACAATTGCATGTTTACTAGAAATTGTCTAAGTAGCGCTGGCGAGTTATCGATTCAACATAAATATCGATATCGAATCGATAAGTTTACCGAAAATTACTTACAACTTTAATAGAAATGAAATTTGCAAAAATAAAGTATTTTCGTGTACTTCATTATTCTTATAAAGTATAGAGTACAATTAAATAACGTACAATACTTTATTATAAAGTACGGGTGGCAACCCTAGTCACAACCTAAATCAAATGTTGTTGTCTACCTTCCTGTATTCTGTATGTATTACTATACTCTATGTGTCTACCTGACATCTGACGTACTTACTCATAATAGATAATGTCAAATTTTAATAGCCCAGTAAATATTAAAACGAATTTCATTTAGTGAGTTACGACACGGTTACGACACATTTCCTTTCACTGTAAATTCGTCCCCTATACTTGGTATACTCTTTGGTACTTACTTCTAAGCTTTTACCTATTCTGTGCAAGTGCAAATAACAGTGACATTGACAATTTGACATACCTACCCTATGCCATGGAGGTATCTACTTAATGCAGTGACACTAGTGACAGACCGGGCCTAACACAGAGTGCAACACTACAGCACATTCGACTTTCGTTGGTAGTGGTGAAGGTTACGCACGTGCTTTTATTGGTACTACGATTGTTGTCAATTTTAGTGATCTTTTTCATAGTGAACTAAATTGAAATCATTTAATTTTGTGCTGTGTAATTGTGTGTGTAAGTTTTATTAAGGTGTAGTAGTCTTAAGTTTTGTTTCCCCTTCCCTCCTTTTTTACTCCTATACCTAACAATGGATGAAGAGAAGCCTCCTGACCCTCCCGACAAATCTCCAGAGTACAATCCCATTTTATGCGTCACGCTCCCCCATGACAACCAGGATCTTGAATCAATGGATTCCGAAAGCAATGCTAACAGGAAACGACCTGCTGGTTCTCCCATTCTATCCCGTATCAATCCTCCGAAGCTAGCGAAAAGTATTAATGGTAGGCAGTGCTATACGGCTAGAGACAACCCTCCCTATATTGTCCATGTTTCTCTTAAAGACTCCCAGACGAGTGGCACTACTCTCCACCCTATCAAATTCGGGATGTTCTTGACAAAGAATAACATCAACAATATTAAAATTGGAGGAGTGAAGCGACTCGGTAGAAACAGAGTGTCGGTTGAGTTTGTGTCTCACCAGGATGCGAATAGCTTCCTTATTAACTGCGTGGTAGCACAAAATTATATTACCTCAATCCCTCAGTTCAACATAACTAGAATGGGCATTGTGAGGGATGTTCCCATTGAATGGTCAGAGGAGGAAATTATTAGGAACATTAAGGTTCCCGCTGGGTGTGGGATTGCAATTAAAGCAAGACGGATGAACCGTAGAGTTTCATCAGACAATGGTACGGAATGGAAGCCTACCCAAACTGTGGTTCTCACTTTCGATGGGCAAATTTTACCAAAGAAAGTTTTTTGTTTTTATTCTGCTCTCCCTGTAGAATTGTATACATACCCTACAATACAGTGTTACAACTGTTGTCGCTTTGGGCACACCCGCACGTTGTGCCGCTCCAAACCGCGTTGCTTCAGATGTGGTCAGGATCATCCTGGCGATGGCTGCCTAGTGACGGAAGAAGTTGCACGTTGCATAAATTGCAATGGCAATCATTATGCCAATAACAGCTCCTGTCCTGAGTTAGGACGCCAGAAAAGTATTAAGGCCTTAATGGCTGAAAAAGCGATTTCCTATGCGGAAGCAAGCCATGTGTTTCCTGCGGTCAAAAAATCTTATGCCGAGGTTTCTAAATCCAAGTCTATCAACTACATTCAATCAACACCAAATAAAAAACCATCCCCACAAAGACAGTCTTACAAAAAAACAGTTTTTGTCAAACCCAAATCCCATGCTCCTCTTTCTCCCGGCTATGATAAGAAGGCCCATCAGGCCCTTATCCATGATTACTCTTTTTCTCCATCCCAGAATGGTTGCGCTTTCCCTGTGGAATCCGGAACCAACACTCGTAGCTCTAACATTTTAGATGTAATTTCCAGCATGCTCATGGCAGTGTTATCTAACCCTAATCAAAATGTACCTGACCACGTCGCCCATAGATTAGCTACTATCCTAGACTACATATATAAAATTCCACCCACTTACAATTCTTCAGTGGAACGTGAGGAGTACTCTTCCCAGGAAGAGTGACCTGATACATTTAGTTAATAAATTCAAACCATCGATTTGTGGACTTGCTGAGACATGGCTCCGACCGAATATCAATTTCGGGATCCCGTGCTTCAGCATTGTCAGACAGGACAGATCTGATGGTTATGGAGGTTGTGCTTTGTTAGTTAACAACAAAGTACCCTTCACCCAGATTCCTTTACCCTTCGTCGGCGATGACATAAATGTTGTCGCTGTTAAGGCTGAGGATATAAATTTTTTTATGTTTTATATTGCGCACCCTCTTGTTACTCATTTGGCTTTAATTAAAAATTTATTAATGTCAGTCAGTGGTCCATTATTCGTAATGGGTGACTTCAACTGTCATCATTATAGATGGGGTTCGGATTTATGCGACAACATAGGCAGCAAGTTCGTTGAAATGATGGATGAGCTCAACCTATGTAATATTAATGACGGCAGCCCGACCCGTAGATCTGCATTTGGACAAAGAAGCAGTTGTGTGGACTTAACCTTCTGCTCATCTAATATGGCAAGCATGCTGAACTGGAGCTGTTTGAATATGACTTATGGTAGCGATCACTATCCCATCATAATCAAAAATCCTTCCAAATCCACTCCTGATAAATCCCTCCCCCCTCTATTAAAATATCGATTAGAAAAAGCAGATTGGGACCTGTATTCAAAATTATTAGACTTCCGCATTTCTTCTCTCCCACCCATTGATAACCAGAATGCTTTGGAGTGTTTTTCAAAGTTTTCTGAGTTGATAGCTTCCACAGCTGAAGATTGCTTCCCAGTGAAAAGCACACCAAAAGGCAAAATCCCTTCCCCTCCTTGGTGGGATAGTGAATGTACTGCCATGATAAGAGCCAGGAATGAGGCTGAAAAGGCATATAACCACGACATGAGCCTGGAAAATCTCCTTAATTTCAAGCAGATATTGGCTAGGTCAAGAAAACTGTTTAAAAAGAAGAAGAGACAGGGGTGGCAGAGATTCTGTGGTTCCCTAAGCCCGTCCACGCCGGTGGCAGCAGTGTGGCGGAGAGTGAAGAGCTTCAGAAATTCTTCGAAGCCTCCTTCAATTTCCATTTTGCCTGAAGGTCTGAGCCACAATTTCTTCACCAACATTGCTCCACTGTATGTCCCTGGCGAGGATGAATGTTGTCCGGGTCAACATGAGGATTCACGAGACCCACTCGATAAAAATTTCACCATCGATGAGCTCCAAATGGTCCTTAATCATGTAAAGGATTCCGCACCAGGCATTGATGGGTTTCCTTACTCCTTCTTGGTTAAAGCAGGAGCCAAAACCAAGCAGTACTACCTTGACTTAGTCAATTTCTGTTTTACTTTCGGCTATATTCCTCCTATCTGGAAGGTTCAGGTTATCATGCCGCTGTTAAAAGCTGGCAAGGATCCTGGTGACCATTCGTCTTACAGACCTATTGCCCTATCGTCCATACTTATCAAAATCCTTGAACACCTAATAAAGACCCGGTTGGAATGGTCGATGGAAAGCCGGGGGCTGTTCCCGGCGGCTCAGTTCGGCTTCAGGAAAGGTCTGGGTACGGCTGATAGTGTGGGTACCCTCACGTCAGCCATCCGACTGGCCCTTAGCAGGAATGAGTCGTTGGTGGCGGTCTTTCTGGACGTCTCGTCGGCCTATGACTCTGTCCTCCTACCCCTTCTCAGGCAGAAATTGCAGGAGCTGAGAATCCCGAGTAGGATTTGCCAAATTATAGGCTGCATCCTTTCCAACCGTACCCTCAACTGAGAACTCCTGAGGATAACCCTACACAGAGAACCGCCTGGAGGGGTTTACCTCAGGGGTCAGTCCTTAGTCCCATCCTATATAATATCTATACCCACGACCTCCCTTCTTGTCTAAATTATGATTGCAAAGTCCTCCAGTATGCTGACGATATCGCATTAATGGTCACTAGCTGCTCTATAACAGACGCTACCGCCTCCATGAATGTCTCTTTGACCTCATTATACCAATGGCTTCTTAATCATGGGTTATCTTTAAGCGCCCCAAAAAGCTCAGCTGTCATCTTTTCACGCAGACGGCGCCTTCCGGACACTCTTATAGAGATAGACGGCCAACCTATTCCAGTTGGGAGGAAGGCTAGGTTCCTGGGCGTTATCCTCGATTCTAGGATGTCGGGGGTTGATCATGTGGAAACAGTAGTTAGAAGGTGCGAACGGTCAGTATGTGTACTCAGAGCATTAGCTGGGGTATGGTGGGGTGCTCACCCCTACACATTAAAGCTCATATATAATGCGTTGGTCAGAAGTGTGATAGACTATTGCTGCTTCCTTATGGCACCTTGCAATAAGGAAGCACTTAAAAAGCTAGATTCCATTCAGGCCAAATGCCTAAGAATAATTATTGGAGCTATGAAGTCATCCCCCATAAACGCTCTCCAGGTTGAATGTGCAGAACCCCCCTTTGACCTTCGAAGACAATACCTGGCAGATCGTTTCGTTTCTAAAGTCCTTACCCGCTCTTCTCATCCCCTCCTTCCTATCCTTGAGCAAATCCACAGTTCTTATGACTCCTCTCCATATTGGAATAATAAACCTGTCCCACCTGTGATTGCTAGGTATAGGGAGCTTAAAAACCTCTCTGCACCTATCAGTCAATTCCCTATTCTCCCGGTTTTTTCTTCCGCATACGAGGTCATTCACTTTAGGCCAAAGCTAGTTCTGGGGTTGGGCATTTCAAAGACATCAGTGGACGCTAAAGGTGATTTTGAACGCGCGCTGAGCAATTACTGGAACGGCTGGAATGTGTTTTACACGGACGCATCCAAATTGACCCGAAACGGATGCACAGGAGTGGCAACATATTACCAGAACTCAAGAATTGCTCTGCTCTCCAAGTGTCCCCCTGAAGCCTCTGTCTTCACTGGGGAATGTGTCGGCATTCTGGAGTCCATTAAATTATTGAATCGCACAACCTCAGAAACTCAGTTATTTTCTCAGACTCTCTAAGTAGTTTACAAGCGCTCGGTCAAGACCAGCTTTATTCCCGGACTCATAGTAGTCTGATAATACAGATAAAATCTTTACTTTTCTCCTGCCAAAACGACGGACTAAATATCGAGATCGCCTGGATCCCTGGCCACTCTGGTATATGCGGTAACGAGTGTGCTGACAGATTGGCAAAGTTTGCGGCCGTGAATAATGTTGAACGTCACCACTACATTGTGTATGGGTATGACATACGCGCGGATACCAAACTCAAGCTTTTCGACTCGTGGGCTGCAGTGTGGGTGGACTCCTCCAAGCGTAAAGGAGCTTACTTTGCAAGTATCCAGCCCGACATCCGGCGGAAACCTTGGTTTTCCAAGTATAAGAAGCTTCCCAGACAAACTATTTCGTCCTTGTGCAGACTCAGACTCGGCCACTGTACTAGTCCGGTATTCCTTGCCAAGATCCGTGTACGTGACACTCGCTGTGCGAATGTGGTCTCGATGAGGGAACCCTAGACCACATATTTTTCTCTTGCCCTCTAAATTCCCAATCCTTCGATTTATATGGAAACCTTCCCAAAATCCAAATCCCTCTTCCAATCAACTTCCACTCCCTCCTAACAAATTTTTCTCCCAAATTAATTAAGTGCTTGTCCAAATTTATTAAAGAAAATTGTATTAAAATATAACGGTGTGTATTTATGTAAATATTGTGTGTTATGATTGTTTCTATTTAATTATTTATCTGGTGTTAGGTAATAATATTATAATTTTAGGTCTATTGACGGTATATGTTTACTAACCCAATTGTTTTTGTCTCTTCCAGTTACTAACAACTACCAGAAAGTTAAAGTTCGACGGTGCATTAACTGCCGTCACCACTCGACACTGGCAGTATAGTCGACAACATCGTAGTGGAGACTCAGTTGCCAAAGACGAAAAAAAAAAAAAAAAAAAAAATTACAGCACATTCAATTTGTAAATTGTATTTGGTGCCTAATATGGCGGACACCATGCGAGCTCAATGAGTATAATAAAGAAATATATTATTATTTGTTTACATAATTAACTAGGAGACAAATGTATAACAAAATTATACGAAATTCTCGATGCAGTTTCATCAATAATTTATCACAGGAGTCAATATTTTATGCTAAAAAGATCCTTAGACAACCAGAAAAAATAATTTTGTAAATAAATATGACTTACTTGTGAAGAGATATACCAGACGCTTTACCACATTTCATGCCACAGCCTTTAATACAACACTTAGGCATTATCAGATTATAGCAAAGTTACTTTTAATTATATTAAAATGTTCGCAAGTGTTAGAACACTCCTTAGATACGATATTCCCGATAATATTCAATGAATCCGACGTTTAATGTACCTACAACAAAAACACGGAAACAAAAATGGCGACCTTCCTGTCGAGTCGCCACGCCAATTCGCTACGGAGTCCACTCAGTCCATTTCAGATATAGTATTGTAGTCTTTGACTCAGTCCACAGACGCAGACATCCCCTATACTTATTATACTCTTTGACACAGACAGAGGTGGACTCAACGTGACATTGTACTAAAAATGTTGCCATTTCAAGTAACTACTAACCATTTGTTTTTTCTTCTCTAGAAGTATAGATTTTGTCTTATCGATTCATAATAACATTGTTAATGGTATTTTTATAACTATCTATGTTTTTGCATAGCACTTTTGGGGCATGTCGTTGGATTCGCGAGCGCAAGCTAGATACTATGACATAAAGTTGCAATTGTTGCCATGCCAGGCAGAGAAAAAACAAATAGCATGTCGTCTCTTTCTCATAATAAGATTAATTTTTTAAATAGACACGTTACAATTTTCTCTTTGGTTTCCAGTTTCCACATCGTCTACCAAGTACCAAAGAGTATTCTACTCTACAAAAGTACGTCATAATTTTTTTTACAAATATTTCGCGACGCTTTGTTTTCGATAACTTTGCTTCTTTGCACTTATTTGCAATGTTACTGATTTATTAAAATGATGAGGAACAGTATACGATAGATGTTGGTTCGGTCGTTCTACTTCAATCAAAGAGTATAATAATAAGTATAGTCAATTCACCAATTGTTGTCTTCTCTCAGACTGTCTCAGAGTAACGCTGATCGTCATTCGTCGTCTTCGTCGTCACAACACACACCAAACACAAAGTTTGTGTCAGTGTGCATGGTATTTCTTATTTCAATTATCAATAATTTGTTTTGTTAACAAAAATATGGAGGACGAAACGTCTCAGGAAACAATAACAGAGGAAATAAAGTTTAAACCAAGAAAGAAACATAACCTTCGTCAGCGTATCAAAGATGATGATGATTCTGACGACGAACAACACATCTTGACTAAATTGGAAGAAACAAAGGTGTTACAAAAACTTCGAGAACGGCCTAATGGTGTTAGTGTGATTGCTTTGGCTACGGGTCAAAAGACAACAATTGAGGAAGAAATTACTTGTAAGGACCCATTTAAGGTCAAATCTGGTGGTATGGTGAATATGCAGGCATTAAAGAGTGGTAAAGTTAAGCAAGTCGATGATGCATACGATACTGGCATCGGTACGCAGTTTTCTGCCGAAACTAACAAACGTGACGAAGACGAGGAAATGATGAAATATATTGAAGAACAATTAGCGAAACGAAAAGGTATGTTGTATTGTTTTTCTGATCTTTTATACCTGAATAAAATGGAAGATGGGGAGACTGTTAGCATCGTTCAGTACCTACCATGTTTTATAATAATGAATGCTTTTATATAAGTTTTCCTGAGTTCTCACTAAGGGTAATGCAAGAGCTAAGGGAAAATTCTAACTGTCCGGCCATCCTTCCTCAATAATTCAACTACTAGCTTTTGTCTATGGCTATACTTGCTATAGGATAGATGAGTAACTTTTATTTTAATGTCCGTCTGGTAGATTATTATAAAACTTTAGACACATATTTTATTTTGTTACGGAAACAAATACTTTCTACAATATATTGATTTGAAATTATGCCTAACATAATTTTTATGTACATTTTATATCTAGAAATGACATTTTAGCTCCCACTCCTAAATTTTGATTTGTTTTACCGAAGTATTGTTTTCTCGATAAACTAAAAAAAATATGTTACATTACAATACATTACCTAACTAACAAACTAAATAGACTTACTACCCCATCATTATCCCTATTTGGTGGGATAAAAAGCAGCCTGTGTAAGGGTACTTACATAAACCAATGGGTTTGTACCGAAAACCCTTTATGTTAGCAGTGGCATCCACAGGTTTTTGAGACAGGGTGGGCAACATGTTGGCACCCTTATTCCAGACCACAATCAACTCATATCTCATGTTCCAAATTTCAACCATTTGACATGATTGAGTAATAAACTTACACACAAACTTTCGCATGTATAATATAAGTAACATTAAACTGTCAAACACCAAGCGGTCACCGGTGACCGCAACCTATTGTTCTTTAATTGTGTCTATAATAAATACAATACTCAACGAGTTAAATTATAATTTTATTGCTAACTATTATTAATATATGAATTATATGTGAAGTTGAATCATTATGTGACCATCATGGTTGCATTAATCTATAGATTACAGTATTGGTTTGTAAGATCACTCCACTCAAAAGAAGTAAATGAATGCATCAATATCACTCATGTTATTCCTTATTTAAATAAAATATCATCATCAACAGCTTATAAATGCCCACTTCTGAGCAAAGCCTCTTCTCACATGGAGAAGGTTAGAGCATTAATCACCACGCTTGCTCAATGCGGGTTGGCGATTTCAAACTTATAATTAGAAATTATAAGCCCAGGTTTCCTCACGATGCTTTCCTTCACCGTTGGTCAGTGGTGTCTAAATAATCTTAGAAAGTACATATAACTCGGAAAAAGTCACGTTGGTACTTGCCATTGATAGGTTTCGAACCTGCACCCTCGTGCACGAGAAGCAGGCGTTTTCAACCTCCGGGCCACCACGACTATAATGACGAAATAAAGTATGAAATATTATAATTATTTTGTACTAATTTTAATTTTTTTTTTGTTTTTTTCAGAAGGACGTAATGAAGACACAAAAGAATCTGAACAAAACGATGCTTTGAAATACTTATCACCCGAAGAAGCTGCATTATTGTCTCTTCCTGAACATCTGAGGGTTTCATCAGCACATCGCTCCGAGGAGATGCTGTCTAATCAGATGCTCAGTGGTATTCCTGAAGTAGATTTGGGTATTGATGCAAAAATTAAAAATATTGAGGCTACAGAAGAGGCTAAAATGAAACTGCTTTGGGAGAGGCATAATAAAAAAGACTGCCCTTCACAGTTTGTGCCCACTAACATGGCAGTGAATTTTGTACAACATAACCGGTTTAACATGGATAGTGATATTGCTAAAAAACGTAAACTTGAGAAGCCAGAAGTGGCCAAGACTGAAAGTAGTGTTATAGATGATAATGTAGATAAAATAGTGAAGAAGGCTAAAGGTGAAAGAGCTACTGACGATTATCATTATGAAAAGTTTAAGAAACAGTTTAGAAGATACTAAACAAATTGTTTTATTTTTATCCTTTTTTAAATATTATGATAAGTACATATCTAAAATAGGATTTTTCGGTTTTTAAAAATTTTCTCAGGTATAGCACAGTCTAGAATTATACCCGATGTATGTTATAGTGGTAATTGAACATTAAACAAGCTGAAATTGATTGCTGGTAACTTCTGTTGATGTAACACAAATGGTTGTTATGATTATTTGTTAGAAGTGGTTGTAGAAGTGTTGGTCTGGTGCTGGTTTATTATTGGTGTTGTTATTTTTTGATATTGAGTTACTGGTCCAATCTTTAAATCAATTCTTATATATATTTTGATTTGCTGAGGGTTCAAATAGGTATCTGTATCAAAGGCTTTTGTATTATTTGTTATTGTGGAAATATGTTTTATAAAAGTTATAAATATAAGTTAAGTTTTGAAGATAAAAAAGTATTATATTTATGTATTAAGAACAGAAAAAAGTAATATATTTTTTTTTATCTAGTATATATTCTGCTAGGTTGTTTGGAAAAATGTTCGATACAGCTGTTCAGAAGTCTTGAGTCTTGATGAGAGAGCCAGAACTTTCAAACTCATCAGCATCATCCTGACAATCAGTTACTTGTTTACAATCAATTTCTTCATAACCAGTTTCTTTTGTCTCTTTGGTCTATCACTTATTCTTGTTGTTTTTAACCCCCGACGCAAAAACGATGGGGTGTTATAAGTTTGAAGTATCTGTGTAAATGTGTATCTGTCTGTCTCTGGCATCGTAACTCCCAAACGGATGATCCGATTTTAATGCGGTTTTTTTGTTTGAAAAGTTCTTAGCTATGTTTGGTAGAAATCGGTTTAGCTCTTTAAGGACACCAGGTCGTTAGTTAGGTGTGATAGGAATGTTACACGCTCAGTTTACTTGCAAGCATATGTGGGTTCTGACATTTGAAACACTAATGTCTTCTGAAACCACTGAACTGGTCTGCTGTTAGGGCTCGAAGATAGGAGACGTAACCCTGGACTGCCTTTTTGTGAACCCATCGAGTTTGGACTAGTTGAATTTGTCTTGACTAGTTCTCTTCACCTTTTTTAATTTGCGAGCGCAGTTCAGCTTTTCGACTAACTTGCGACAACAAAAGGCAATTTTTTCTCTACCTAGTATTATTTTCGGGCTTTGTGCCTTTTGAGCTCTTTGTTTTTCTACCCAGTCCCATTTTATATACTTGATATAACAATTTCAAAATAAAGCACAAAATGACCCTTCAATGGCAAGAATATTAAAAGAATTTAAACGAAAGAATAAAAAATTAAGGAGCTCCTTCAAAAAGCATGAAATAAAAAATTTAAAACAACCCCCGACCCAAAAAAGGTAGGGGAGACTGGGGAAGGTTGATCCCCCCTTTTCATTTTGGTCTCTTTATCTTTTTTACTATTTATAGTAAGTATTAGCTTTTTTAGGTTATTTAAAATTTATCTATTTACTAAATATATGAAAGAGGGTAAAGCTTAGTTATATTTGAAGTCAGTTTTGCCACCTTTATTTTTTTAAAAGCGCTAAGGGGTCGTCCATAAATTACGTGAGGTGTTTTTTTAAATTTTCTGTCCCTCCCTCCCCCCTTGGTGAGATGTCGTGTGATTTTATTCAACCCCCCCCCCCCCCCTCCCCCATCCCCCAATCTCACGTGAGATTTTTCAGAATGTGGGTTTCTTACGTAAACTCGTTGGGCTGTTATTGTAAAAAGAAGAAAAACAATTTGCTTTGTGCTTTTATTTACGACTAGTTAAGATTAGTAATCAATATTGCTGAGAGTTATAAATGTAATAAAAATTTAACAATAGAATACTTGAATCATGACTACTGTGATTAAAAGAAACGAATATCTAGGGTAAGATGGTCAACAGTGGATCATTTTTTTTTGACGCATTGTAATATAAAAAGTATCTAATAGTCAGATTTTTACGAAAATTTGCCAGGGGCACGTGTGGTTATTAAGCTTTAAAATATTATTAGCCTTTCTGACAAACAGTGTACAATAAAAAAGGTGTTATATATTTTTTTTTATAGTGGGTTTGATCCACTGTGTGGTGTACACAGTCCTGGTTTACAGTGGATCAAAGAAAATCTGAACAGGAAAGTAATAAAAGTCAAAGTAAATAATCAACTGGATGTTTATTTTTAAGCATCGTTTTAACATTACTTTATTAACCATTTACATTACTAACCACAAGAGACATAATAAAAAAAAGAAAAAGTTCTATGAAACTTAAAGGATCTTTGTACTTTTACAGTCTTCATTCAATATTGCTATAACATTAACTAGAATCTACTAAGTCTTGAACGTTGCTTCTTTATCACTATTAAAGATTTCTTTTTATTTTCAACTATCTTAAGAAATAGTGAAATAATAACAATTCTTATCTTAAATCACAGATTTTAAAAGTTAGTCTTAGGCATTATCTTCTACTAAAAATATATATCAAAGAATAAAAAAAATAAAGAACTCAACGAATGTTAATGTGACTTAAATCTACAGGAAATGAATAATATGACTGTTGCCTGGCCGTACTACCACTAACGGTAGGCATCGGCAATATTAGCCTTATGTCGTCCTCTTTCACGTACGATAAATCCGGGACATCAGGCAAAACAAATTTCCCTTTTTTGTATCTTAAAAAAGACATAAAATTCTAACGTATTGGGATTTCGTTCCTCAAGAATTTTGCCAGCAAAAAATATCTTTTGGTTCTTGGAACAAAATTGCACCAATACGTATTGACTTTCCTTTGGTAATTGCAGAAGTGGTTGTTTTAGTAAATCCTCTGTTATAATGGTCTCTTCACTTTCAACCCAGTCTCCTTCATCGTCTGTTTCGTCGTCCAGTATAATGTCATTTTCATCTTCTGAATCACTTTGCAGCACTTGACGAATAGTTTTCTTTCCTATCCCTTTAGTTTTAGTTTCTTTCTTCCTTTTGGCTGCCTTCTGTTCTGCAATAGCATTTTTTTCAGGTGTGTCAGTGGCTATAAGGCTTTTACCTAATTTTCTTGGCTTCCTCTTTCCAGTTCTTGTGGGTGCTCTAAGTGGCTTCCGAAACTGTTCAGGAGTAATGATAGATTTGATTCCAGGTGAAGAAGTTGACTCACTTTCAGGAAAAGTAGTGGGCATAATAACTGCATGTTGAGTTGCAGAACCGTCAAGAGGCAAAACATTAGATATATCAATTAAAATAGATTTTTCTGGAGTGGAAAATACTGGCATCGAAGTAATTTCTGAATAATCGACAAAATTCTCCATTAGAGATGGACTCATTGTATTTCTAGATGCTTCAGTAGTGCTATTAGAGGGTCTAGGAGAATGAGTTATTTGTAAATTAAGTGTGTTCTCTTCTAGCTCTAAAATCGGTTGCTGGTCAGTAGTTACGTGTTCTCCACTAAAATCACTTTCAGGTTGAGCATTTTCAGGTCTATCAGTAACACTGCTGGGTGCAAAGTCCTCGTCAGTAAAAACGTATCGATCAAAAGGAAAAATTCCCGTTTTTCTGAATGCTTGTGTTATATTAGAAGGTGTCATAGACTTTGCGAAAGCCTGGCCAATTAATGCTCCCACGTCGTAAATAGTTACAGGACATCCAGGATTGCGTAACATCCAGGAACTCATGGCGGAATAGTAAAATGTTTTGAAGGGTCCGTGAATTCCAACATCCAATGGTTGCAGTCGTGCTGATGTATGTGGCTGCAATGTAAGCACAGTAACCCCAGACTCTTTAGCGAGATCAAGCGCTTCTATGGAAAGGTGAGACTCATGGTTATCCATAATCAAAATCGATGAGTATTCTTTAGTAGTTCCAGTTCTTCGTATAAAATGCTTCATTACATCCAAGAACAGCTCACTATTCATCCACCCAGATGGGTTTGCCAGAATCAGTGATCCAGGTGGGGTACCAACAGCCATGCGAGGGTTTGTATTTTTTCGTGGGAAGACAAGCACTGGTGGAACTGCCTGGCCCCCAGCGCTTATGATGTTGCAAGTAGTGACAAGTGTCCCCTTCTCACCACTAGTGACTTTGCAGAGGTTTCGTCTACCCTTTGGCGCTATAATCCGTTGGGTCTTTTGCACAGTGGTGGTACCGGTTTCATCCAAGTTATAAATTCTTGTTCCATCAGCAAATGCAGGATGGCGCTTGATCACGTCCTCTAAGTTATCATAAAAATGATTGACGGTCTCTCTATTAAAAGCCGATGCCCGTGCTAAACTGCACGCCTCGAGTTTACGCAGCGTCAAATCCTGATGTCGTTGGCGAAAACCCCTTAGCGGCTAAGAAGCCTTCTAGAATCTAGAATGTTTTCTTCTTCCTTCGACAAAATGGTACTGGGTCCCATTGGACACTCTATGGGATTTATTCCTGTGATTTTGTTGCGTAATGTTATTCTAGGCACGTTAAATTTTTTTTTTGTCCATTATTGCAACTATTCAACTTCAGTGCACCATTAATAAACATCGACAAAATAATGTGAAACATATCCTCAAGCGTAAAAGCACAGTAAGTACGTCTTCATCTCGATTTCATGGTCAATCCAACCAACAAAATAGAATTTGATTCAAATAAAGCAATAATAAATAAACAAGTAAACTTTATACCTACCTCACTAACCATTTACGTAACAAAAGCCTCAAATTTATATTTTCTAACACCAAGCACCAATTCACCCCACGCCATTTTTTTGTTTTATAACGAAAGTGAATGAAACGTCAAATTATCACAGAAATGGCCGCATGTCATCAGGGTTGTCGAAAAATAATACACTTTTAATCTTTTTTTTAAAAATCAACTTTTATTTATGCATTACTTGGCGTCAAAAAATTAAGTACTTAGCGTAATTACGTAGGTCACTACAAAAGTTTTGTCGTACTCCGTGAAATATTATTTTTTTTCGAAGTATTCTCCATTGGCACTTAGGCAGGTCTTCATACGTGCAAACCACGTATCAAAGATGTCGCTCCAGAATCCTTCCTGCACA